GCCCCACCCCGACCCAGGAACAGCCCGAAGGAACGACCCTGGTGAAGGAGGAAGGGGACAAAGACGAAAGCAAACAGGAGCCTGAAGTCATCTATGAGACCAACTGCCACTGGGAAGGCTGCACACGGGAGTTTGACACCCAGGAACAGCTGGTGCACGTAAGTCGGGGGGACTCGGGAAGTGAGCTTTACAACTACGTGACCTTTCCTGTGGGGTCAGCTTCCCTGACCCTGCGCTGAGTCAGGTTTCTTAGCTAGCAGGCTGCAAACTGGAGAGGGCTTTATGATTTTTTGAGAATAAAGAAAACTCTGAGCCATGGTGCTTGACCTGTTCAGTCAGCTAAAGCTTAGTGTAAAATTCAATAAAGTCTTCAATAGAGAGCGTAATGACTCTGATCCTGTAAGCCAGAAAACACTATTTTGAGTTTGCGTCTTTGATGGGTATTGAGTAATAGTAAGCTGGACATGAATTATTTTTAACCTTTTAACCAAGTTTGATTCTCCTCTCCTAGACCCAGCCATGGTAGGGAAAAAAAAAATTGTAGAGGTGGGGAATTCCTTTTCTTTTGTTCTGCCTTCTTTTTCCAAACCCTCAAGGCCAAGGAACCTCCCAGTATTTTATGCAGCAATTAGTACTCTGCGTGAGATAGGTAGATGCTTGGGGAAGCCATTAACACAGTTTCTTGACTGAAGGCCAACCCTTGCAGGGCGGGTAGTTCCATGGAAAAAGTGATGTGTATTTTTAAATGCGTCCGGTGGCATGGATTTTTGAAACCTGCAGCATGGTCAGACTGAGATCCACACCTCATCTTACTATACGATGTCCAGAAGTGTTGCCCCCGTGGGTTTTATTTCCAATAACGCAGTGCACTCCCCACACCCATGTGCACATACCTGATGAGGCGTATTTCCTTTGCCAGTGCTTCATTTGATTTGGCGCTTTCTTTCATGCCAGAGGAGTCTCCTTAGCCGATGGGACCGGGAGCAGCTGAGACGGAAGGGTCTCTCTCTCTCGATCATCGAGACTAAACAGCATAGGCTCATCGAGGCATTATGGATGGTCTGCTGTGTGTGGCCGGTTCACCCGCTTGTCTGGTGACAGAAGATCCGACAGAGAAGCAGGGCCCCGCCCACCCCACACGCACACACCGCACACACTCGCCCCGTTGTCTCTTCTTTTCTAGTAACTTTTAATTTTAGATGACCCATATTTCTTGATAACACTTCTCCATTTAAACGCTAAAATTATACAATTCTTGACACATCCCACATTTTCCACCGTCCGCAGGAACTTCTCCAGGGTGTCGTCTGCAACTTGGCTCCTCCTCTGTGATGTATTCCACACGTTGTCATCACGGCAAAGTGTTAAATAGACCGTTTGCCAGGATTTGCGATCCGTTAGGTACAGAATGTTTTGAGGAGTTAACATGACATCAGCAGGGCTCCCCCCCACCCACATTTCTTTCTTAATCATGTCTCCTTGTAATTGTGTAGGAAGAATTATAGATTTCTCAGCACAGCAAGAAACCTAGAAAGTCAAATGTTTTTAATTAAGGTAGACTTCCAGATTTTTCCATGAACTTAATTCAATTCTTTCTCTTTAATTTGAGGCAAGTGTTATTTTTAAGCCAAGCCTTACTTAATGGCCCTTTCTTCTTGCTGACTTTTAATGGAAACCACAGACATGGTCCTACCAAAGGGGGAAAAGAAAAAGTTTGGAATTTTTCTTCTAGTGTAGGGAGATATTCCCAAAGAGTGCAGTATGCCAGGGCTACCCTTAGTGATAGAAGGAGTGAATAACCCACATGAGGGGAACGGTTTGCATGAAAACTGCCATCGCGAGCGAGATATTACCAGAGCTGCTTGCGTCCTGAGAGGTGACACCGTCCCATGGTGTCTTTTCTGAGGATAAGTCATTGTATTTTCCAAGGAGGGCTGTGATTATGGTTCAGCTGTTACCACATGCGGGATGGAGCAAGAGCTTATTCGGAGTCTACATTTCAAAGGAATCGTGTTCCTCATTAGAGACCAGGTTTGATGTAGCGTTTTTAACCTTTCTGCTACCTACTGAATGCAAAAGCTTTTAAGAGACAGTGACTCTTGTAGGTGTATTTAATCTCAGTGGCGAAAGGCTTTAGGGAGTGATGATGTTTTAGCAGAGACCTGAGTAGTTTTGCGGTAAATCTGCTTAAACGATCAACTTGAATGACCACCGTGTTGTGTGTCTTATCGTAAAAAATCTGACTGAATCCACATACAGGGGAAATTTTTGATTCCAAACCAGCTAGAAGGAATTCATGTCAGGAGTAGGAGAAAATCCAATGTAGTACCTTTATGATGTTAATTTTAGTCTGAGATAAATTACATACATTAAGTGGATTACAGTTATAACTTGGCCACAACCTAAATAAAAACACTAGGGCATGTCACTTATTTTCCACCTTTCTACTCGTTACCTGAAGTGCGGATATTGCCAATGTGTGCGTTTAAGTCGATTTTACTTTGCATGACATGCAAGTACCTTCCTCCCGGTGGGCGTTATCTGGTTGCATCAGCAGTGACCTGGGATAGCACGAGCACTTTATTCTTTGCTGATTGAAGGAATAGCTCCATACCCACCTAATTATTTTGGTGGCAGGTGGAAAAAATACCAGTGGCAAACCCCAGTTTTTTTTTAAGGACGGAGGGAAGTCTTAACTGTTTCCATTCCCATGGCTCTCCTTGGAGAGACGGCATTTTGTGAATTAGCTGAATTTTCATGCTCCGTGCGACCAAGAGGCAAGGTGTTAAACCATTCTGATGCTCTGCCTTATTTATAGCCATGACCCATTCTTCTTCCCCCTCTTACAGTTAATAGAAAGATTCATGATTCTTCATGGTTGTCTATCTAGGGCCTGACAGGCCCGACTGCCTGCTAAAGCAAGTCACTATCTATAATTGATATCCTTCCGCGGAATAGGGTGCTGGCTGCAATTGAAGGGCTTTGCTGAAAGCTCTTAAATCCTGACAAGTTCTCCCCTTGTTCTGGTTCAGTCGCTGAGCTGCACGGTTGGAATTCCAGAGCCATTTGAACTTGGTGCAAAAGGGAGACATGTGTTTCACATTAGCAAATCACAAAGTTGAAGAGGAGAATTAGGGACGCGGCGGGCTCTGCCCGCCAGGTAGTCTCATTCCCAGCGTAATGCACTCCGTGTTCTCTTAAACATTACCTCGTCCCATTACTGGCCCAACAGATGCGCTAACCATTGCCTTTCCCTTCTCTTCTCCTTTATTGCAAGCGCCTGTCCTCCGCCAGGTGTGTGTTTATTCTAGGTTTGCTGTAGGGTCTTTATCACGGAGATGTTTAATTAATTTCTCTTCCCAGCAAGATAATTATAATTGGGCTTAGTTACTCTCAAGCTAGTATTAAATTTGTCATAAATTTACTTCTATGCCCAGAAGCTAAGAAGACAGATGTATATTTTTGTTAACCAGGTTTTTGTTATACTTTGTCCCTTTCTTGGTGTCAGTTAAAATAGAACAGAACAAGAGAGTAAAAAGGAGATCCGGTATAAAAATGAATTCAAAGTACCTTTGATTAAGACTGAATTGATTATTGATTTGTTGAGATGCAAACGCTTTCTCTTTCCTTGGCATCTGAAAGTACGTATTCTAACACCTCAAAGTAAGTTGGAAAGTCCACATTTTCCCTTCAATTCCAAAGTAATTAGACTTTCTTTTTGCTGTTGTGCACGGCATATTACAAAAGACACGAATCTTACATTTAAATTTATTTCTGAAGGTGGCAGAATGTTGGTTCTCAACATGTTTTCTGGTTTTGTTTTGGCTTTTTTGGGGGGGAGGGCATGCAAAAAACTCAACTTCCATCTCCTGGTCTGGCCTCGCGCGTGGATGAGGGAGGCTTCCAAACCTTCCTGAGAGCCATTTCCCGCTTGCATTCCTTCTGTCCTAGAACTCAGTCCCATCTTTGGCTCTAGGAGGGTCGAGGGGTCTGAAACAATGCACAGCGTGAGCCCAAGTTAGTCATTTCTAGGTTCTCCGAAACCTGCCCGCGTTGTTTCTGAATGACATGATACGGCCCATCAAAGTTTTTGATTTGAGAGGCTTTTTCAAAAGAGGAGATTTATTCCTAAAAATGCGAAGAATGTGCACCTCAGTATGGGTCATCACCGCTCGGTGGCTGGTGATGCTTGCGAATGTCACTTCCAGGACCCGGAGAATGAAAGTAGTATCCTCACCATCCCTAACGTCCACCTGTTTGCTGTATCACTGTATTCCCTGACCCTCTATTTCAGTGCCGGAACCCTCTTTCTGCTTTCGAAGTAACACTTGTAATATTCTTTTCCAAGGTCTGAAAAATCGTCAAATTATTTTTTTTAACAGTTTTATTCCCCACGCCCTCCCCAGCCAAATGAGTCTGCGGAGAGGGCCTTAGGCAGGTGAGGGACCCATCTCCTGCTAGTGGGGCGGAAGGGCAGAGAATGTGAGTTGTATTTATATGAGTCCCAGCTTCAACTGGGTGGCATTTAAGTCCCTGTGTTCCTTTGTATCTTTTAAGCTGGGTGTCAGAAATTCACCTTTTTGTAGAGTGATTAACCACCTACTTGGATTTTAAATGCTTTCATATGCCATGAATTTTGATCTCTAAAGCCTGCTGTCGGTTCTTTTATCAGAAGAATACAGTTATAATCACCTTTGCTGCCGTTTGAAAACAAATTCTGTACATAGGCAGCATGAAAACGAAGGGCTTTCTTTTTAACATCCTAGAGATTTAGATGTAAAGAAGGCACATCTAATCTGTGAAGAATTGGTGGATCCGTAGAAACGGGGTGAAGTTAGGATGTGTTGAAGACATTATTTTCATATTAATACCATGATCCTAAATTTGCATTTTAAATGTTTTCCATCTAATTTTGATCCCTTTGCTAAAGTTGCATTGTATATCCTTACCTAAGAGAAAATGGAGTGTAAGATGCGATAGGGGTCTCAGATACGAGGCAGAAATTAGTTTTGTGTGCACATAAAACGTAAAACGAATGAGTGGAGATTGTGATCTTCTTTTCCCTACATGGAGTTGCTAGTTAATTTAGTTACTCTAATTATTTGGAAATATTGCATGTAAAATACAGGCTCCGAACCACAAACTTCAAAGCCATCCT